ACTCCTGGTTATTATCCCTAAAAACTTTCTCTCTCTCAAAAGTTGAATATATATTATAGTATTCATGTGTATATATTTAGACATACATATATATATATACACACACACACGCTTATATATATACGGAGTACACACATCAGATAAATTTCTATTAATTGATAGGTATAGATGAGATTAGAGATAGAGATAGAGATATGTTTGTGTGTGTACTAGATATATATGTATGGGTATATTTTAATGTCTATATGTATATATACACATGTGTGTGCATGTGATATCTGTATGCATATGTGTTTATGTATGTTTTATGTGTGTGTATGCCCAACATTTATGTTAAAATGTTCAGTGAAAAAGGTAGAAGTAGCAACGTTTTTATTATAGGAATATGACTGAAGTAAGCATGTGGGCTAGGGCTGGAAGGAAACACATTCCCTAAAATACAGAGATGGGATAATAATAGACAACTGCCATACCCCTCCTCATTCCTACATCTGTGTAACATTATCTAATGCTCTTTTAATAGTTACATTATCTGATTGCTTACTTATTTCTACACATTTTTGCATACCTCTCTTAGTCCTTAATATATTGCATTACTATTATTTATGCCCTCTTTCTCCAATTAAACAGAGCTGAAGACCAAAGAAAGTTTCATTATTTTCTTGTGAACCCCAATGTGGTACCTGGCACAGAGTAAGTGCTCAATAATTCTCCTTGAATTAATTAAATGTTCAGATGGATGGATGGATGGATGGAAGGTTGGATGGATGGATGGATGGATGGATGGGGACTGGCCCATCTCTCTAAGTGACCTCAGAGCAGAACTTGCCTTATTCCCTTTCGTGGTGGAGCATGGTGTCTGGGATCCAGAAGGCCCGATCCCAAACAAGGGAAGAAGTTAAGAGGCATGAGGAGATACATGTTAGCCCACTGTCACCATGCTGGGGTAACAGGGGAAGCGCTCTGTTCCTTACTATAAATGCCTCTGCCCCCCACCCCCACCTCCACCCTCTGAACATCAGTCAAAAGCTTTCCCCTTTGATGCTGGAGGCCTTCGGAGAACAGCTGAACTTACTACAATGAAAATGGAATCCACATGGAAAGTGGAGTCTGTGTAGGTCCCAGAGTTCAGTCGCCCACCTCTGGGCTGAAGAAAAGTTCTGCTGATGAAACACTCAAGAGCTTGATGGAGATGGGACCATTTGAAAAGCACTTCCCTCGGCCACTAGTTAGTGCCCTTCTTACTAAGGAAAGGCAAGAATTCCACCAAACCTTTTGAAAAGTTGGTTTTAAACACTTTCAATCCACCAAAAGGCAGTTTATTTATATATGCAGAGCTCAAAAATACCTCCACAAAGGCAGCGCAGTGGCCATGCTAAAAAACAAAACAAAGTAAAACCTCCCCATCCCCGTTGGCTTTCCCCTCTTCAGACGTGGGAAATTCAACAGGAAGAGGTCTCGGACATGGACACGATACATCATTGGAATTGCTCTGCCATGTTCAGGGGCAGCCCCACGGAAGATCATCTGGCCGCAAGGAGTTGCAAGGCGTAGAAAAAGAAGGACTGCAGATGCATTCATGGTTCAGCACATCTATTACACAACCACGGAACAAATCCACATGGGATCCTCTTCCCTGTGCAAAGGAGGAAATGTGCACAGCAGGACAGATGGGCTCATTCATCTTCATCTGCTGGAGATTACCAAAACAATTAAACACATCCTAAATGAAGGAAAACTTCTACTTAAAAGCCAAGCTTTGATTGCATGCTTTGCCCAGGGGATAGGAAAGACATTAAGCAATACATTGAGGATGGGACATGATCCATTTGGAAGTTGCCGTGTTCCCAGAGGTCAGGGCTCCAGACCAGGCCTTCTGGCCACTGACTGCAGGTGTGTCCTGTCTGCTTGGAGTGGCCTGGCCCTATTGGATTTCTGTGATCACTCACACCGTAGGTAGAACTTTATCCCCTGCAAACATTCCTCAGATGCCTTCTGATATGAGCTCCCTCTCCTTGCAGGCTGAGTAGCTGATAAGAAAAATAAGCACTAAAGGTTAGGGAGCAGCCACCTTGCAAAGGAAGGCAGACAGGGCCAGACCTGTGGGTGGCCCCTCCTCCAGAATGAAACTGGGTTCACTGCAAATTCACAAGCTAATGAGCCAGAAATATTTGGCAGTAGGACAGGCTCCCTGGCAGGGCTGAGAGCAACAGCTCAGCCCTGGTCCCCCAGGAAATGAGCTCACTACATCCAGCTCATCCAACTCCACATCTGCTCCAGGCCACAGAACCCTGGGGTGGGATGAGGAGGCCAGCTAGATGGCGCCCCCTACAGGGAGGCTGACTCAATACCCAGAACTACACCCCAGAAATGGTATATTTAACGCACCCCATGGACTTTCATGGGGCCCCCACAAACAACTTTAAAGAAAATACTCGCCTCAGAAGACCTCTGGGATTTCAGCCTCTTCCTCAGTAAATTCAGGGAGGGGAATAGAGAAGCCTTCTTTGCCTTTCAACCAGAAAGTTGTTTGTTCTCCTTTGCCCTGTGGGAGGCAGGGGAGACAGTTGGTGAAACTCAGGGAGGAGAGGCCACAGTGAAGTGTGGCCTCTGAGCAGACAAGCCGGGTCTCCCCTGCTTGCTTGCTGAAAACAGTGTTTGTAGCCAGAACTGAAACCAGCCAGTAACTGCCTCAATGAGGGAAAGGCCTAGTTATAGACAAAATGTTGATCATTTCCTTGGGCTTTGCTGATAAGCTTAGATGGACAGTCAGTGACGGCCTAGGGCAGTGGTCGGCAAACTCATTAGTCAACAGAGCCGAATATCAATAGTACAACGATTGAAATTTCTTTTGAGAGCCCAATTTTTTAAACTTAAACTATATAGGTAGACACATTGTTATTAACTTAATTAGGTTACTCCTAAGGCTTAGGAAGAGCCACACTCAAGGGGCCAAAGAGCCGCATGTGGCTCGCGAGCTGCAGTTTGCTGACCACGGGCCTAGGGGGTAAGGGCCAGTGGAGGCTAAAGTTTGTGGTAAAGAACGCCTCTAAAAAATAATAACAAATACCTTGAGGCCTTACTACGAGAAAGGCCCATGTGATGCATCTCATAGACATTTCATCATTATACTCACCCTTTGAGGGAAGTGTTATCACCATTCCCATTTTATAGATGATAAAACCAATCTCCCCGATTAAACAGCTAGTAAGTAGTGGGACAGGATTCAAAGCTAGGTCTACACTCCTGCTTTCTAGAAAATTCTTCCTCTTTTCTGAATTCAGTTGATCAAATACAGCTACCAGGGCCAGCCAGACTCAGCAAACCGAGGAGCTGAGGCACCCTCTTCCCCTTTACTTCTTTCCCTGGACCCTCACACCCACCCAAACACCCAGTGCCACAGTAAGCGCCACCAATCCCATCTGAACATCTCCAAGAGGAGAGCCCCCTTCCCACCCAGACAGGCAATGTTTATCAGAAAGAGGAGCCTGTGTCATGGCACATTTCAGTGACAGCCTGGGTGCCAGCAGAAGGCCGAAGGCTAGGGAAGGGATATTTAAACGTATAGAGATGAGGGCCTACTACCTCCAAGCCAATGGGCTTCTATCCCCTCTGCCTGGGCACTTTAGACTCAAGAGAAGGGGCATAGAAGAGTGATAGACGCTATGATGCTTGGGCTTGTATTTTCTGTTGCCTTGAGTAGACTAGCCTAGGGAATTCAAGCAGAAACCAGGGGACCAAAGGGAAAGGAGCATCCCACAGGGGTTGGTCTGGGTGGGAGAAAAGGTGTCTCCTGTCCTGGACTCCATATTTGACCATTTGAGGGAACGGTACAGTCTTCTCTGAAGGAAGACCTGGCAGTCACAGGGGTCTCCACAAGGACCTTGGGGTCTCCACGCTCCTCAGCACAGAGATTCTCTCATCCTGTCAAGTCCTCAGCATCTCCATTAGAGACCCAAAGGGGCAGGTGGGCATAGTTGGTCTTACCTTGACTGAAATGGTGCCTCTCTTTTGCAAATTGTATCCTCCCAATGCCAGCAGGGCGCCTGCGGTGGTCTGAGACACATGAATCCGGAGAGCTGCCAAAACAGTGATTGTCTAGTTACAGTTTTGGTTGTGACCTTGTACAGGTTCAGTGGGGTAAGTGCTGCTGTGGAGAGGGAGCGCTACCCTGCCCAAATTCGTGGACTGCCAGCAAATTGTAGGCAACCTCTCTGAAGTCTGGGGCACTTGGGCTGGGACACCCCCGCATACCACCACCACTACCACCATCACCACCACGATCCAGGCATTGCTCAGACACTATTGGGCATTGCTCACACTTTGATATGTTTAGTCTATGACCAGAAAATGGAACTGACTCCATATGCAAGTGGGAACTCCATATGGCTGGGCTCCCCCCATTTAAAATTTATCCTTAAAATATCTACTTAGAAGCTCAAAGAGGTTTTATCAATGCAACAAAACTACTGTAAAACAAAACAATTTGCTGTCCCCTGGAACTCCTGGCCACAGGTCTGTTCAGCAACAATAAAACTATATACATCAGAGATGGGCCAGTTACCACCCACAGGCCAAATCCAGCCCACCATCTGTACCTACAAATAAAGTTTTATTGGAACATGGCCACACCCATCAGTTAGATATTCTCAACGGCTGCTTTCACACACAATAGCGGTTAAGTAGTTGCAACAGAGACTCTGGCCAATAAAGCCTAAAATATTTACTGTCTGGCCCTGTACAGAAAAAGTCTGCTGCCTCCTGCTCTTCATTCAAGCAACCTGATTGTATGTGTGCCTGCCTAGCTAGAATGGAGAGTTCTGGAAGGGGGCAGGCTGTTTACAGGGCTCCACAGAGAGGACGGTGTGAAACTCCACCTACAAAGCTTGCAACCGGTGTTGTCTGAAGTGGATAGCGATCTTCCCCTGGAAATGGAAACCAGCAGACAAAATGCAAATAGGTCTTCTAAAAATACCCTCCGGTTTAAGACAGGGGCCTGGAGGGACAGTGACACTGTGTTTACCACGCGCTGAAAGTGATACCCACGCAGGCTGCTGCTTTCCATTCTGGAGGCCATGTTCACGGTGTCTCCAAACAGACAGTATCTGGGCATGGTGGTTCCCACCACACCAGCCACCACAGGACCTGCAAAGAGAACTGATGGCCAAAACCGGTCTGCATTCCCAAGGACTGGACTCCACGGTACACATCAGACCAACAAATGCAATTCAATCAATGTTAAGTGCCCTTGAGGGCAAAGCTTGGCAATAGATTTTAGGGATCACAAAGAGGCAAACTGCAGAACCCACACACTTCTGGTGGAAAACTACATAACCAGTTGTTATGGACTGAATGCTTGTGTCTGTCCCATGTTCACATGTTGAAGCTCTAATCCTCAATAGGTTTGGAGGTGAGGCCTTTGGAGGTTATTAGGTTTAGAGAAGATCCTAAAAGTAGAGCCCTTAGGCTGGCATTAGTGCCCTTATAAGAAGAGGGAGAGACATGGTAGCTCTCTCTCTCCACCAGTGAGGACACAGCCAGAGGCCGCCATATGCAAGCCCGGAAGTGTTCCCACAGGGATTCCATGTTGGAATCCTGATCTTGAACTTCCCAGCATCTGGAATTGTGAGAAAAATACCTGCTGTTTAAGCCATCCAGTCTGTGGTATTTTGCTATAACAACCACGCTAACTAAGACAGAAATTACTGATAATATTATTCATGCACTGGAAATGTAAACAAAGCAACAGCAGCACAAACTTGGGGCTAATTCATTCTGATTGGGGCCAGGTTTTATCTTAGTCAAGCCATAAGAATAGGTAGGAGCAAGTACCGCTACACAATTTGCAAGTCCTGGTCAAAAAAATGAAAGTAAGGGACCCCTCATTCGAAACCGATTAAGGCTTTCTGGAGAGAGACAGAAGAGCATTGAACCATGTACGGGGACTCTGCATGAGTCACATGCCATGAGCTTGTCAGAAACAGAGCAGATCAAAGGGCATCCGATGCAGAGGCATGGAGGGAAAGCTGCCCAATGTAATCTGGTTTCCCATCTCCTCCTCATTTTTGGTTCACCTTGAAGTCTTTGTGTGTCCTTGTTGTTACCAAGCAATCTAGCTAACTAGAAATATACATGTGAACATAATTCAACCTTTTATTTCCTTAAGATGTTACCATTTAGTTTCAGGGTTTCCCAGAAGCCCTAGGACTTGAAACCGGAACTACTGCTGCCACACCTGGGCCATGAGGCCACCTGCTCCCAGTGCTGTCTACCTGTGTGGAGGCCGATGCGGAGCCTGAGCTTCTCCTGAGGCATGTGCCCGATCTGGAAGTGGACAGTGGCACTGAGGAAGTGCAAGGCCATGGTGGCAATCTCCTCCACATGCCGAGTTCCATTGCGGATGGGAAGTCCACTAGCCACCATGTACGCATCTCCAATGGTTTCGACCTAGAAACAAAGCAATGACATGGCCTTGTGTTTGCCATGAGGGTGGGGTGGGCTCAGAGATCAAGGTCCCTCATTATGGACCCTTGCTTTGAGGCCCCAGACTTTGAAGGGCTACACTCCCTAACCTCCACTCCATCAAAGTCCCAGCATTTTATCAAATTTGCCCTCATCCAGGTTCAAAGCCTTCCTGCCCCAAGCATTCCTCGCCACAATCACTGCTTCCTTCTCGGAAATCTGATAGTGGTAGTGACCCTGTTTTGCCAACCCAGGTTCAAAACCAGTTAGACAGGCAGCAGTGTACTGATGGGGTAAATCTTGAAGAATCAAATGGATCCATGTATGTATCTGTCTGATCGGACCTCCTCTCTCCCCATTCTCCTAATAAAATCAGCTTTCAGATCCCTTCTTCACTGCAGAGAATAAATGACATGTCTAAATTTAACGTTACATATAGCCCTTTCCAGATACGTTTGCATTTTAGCAGACTTCAATGATGATGTGGTAAAAAGTGGAATTTCAGATTAGCAGGTGGTACAAACACCTCTGTCTCCTGGTTACCATGAACTTGCAGAGTTAACCAGCACACAAGTCTAACTGCTTCTATGCTATCTCTCCCCACCACAAGCACATTTAGAAACACAAATTGACTCTAGACCGGCTCATACAAAACCTAACTGCACAGATAACACTAAGAGGAAACCCCGAGGAGGCCCCCTGAGTCAGATAGGTTCTGTTGGGCGTAAGTGATCTGCTCTTTGAAATTCCCATGCCATCCTTTCCTTTGTCTTGAATAGCAGCAACAATAACTGGGAGATAATAATTGAGGACATGTCACTGAGGAACATGACTGTGCTGTCCCCCAAACCTCCCTGGCCCCAGGGCCATAGCACAGTCCTAAAATCATGGTCAGACTGTACACTGTGGCTGCCCTCCAAGCATGAGTGGACATGGGCACTCTGGAGTCATGATCTGGCCTTGGTTGAAAAGTCAGAAAATACAAGTGTCATCATCCTCACCTACTGAAAGAAGGCAATGCACGTTTTTGTTATCGTCTCCCACAACCATTTTCATTCTAGGTGACCCTGTTCATCCACCCCCACAGTAGCACTGGGCAGCGGGTTGGTGTCTCACCTTTAGCTAGGAGACTGCTCGTCTAAGCTTGGGAAGCTGTCTTCGTTTGAATTGCTAAGGATCACAGTCACAGAGCCAAAGACAACCTTTAAAGAAGAGTGAACCTGCTAAATCTCTCTGCCTCTGAAGGACATACTAGTATATTCAGGAGGCAAGTGGAGGAATTAGCCAGCAGAAGGTCAGTGCCTCTTTCAGAAATGAGTTTTCTGGGAGATAAAATAATGGAAGAAAACAGAGGGAACAACGGATACTTCTTGGCAAGTACATACATCTCTGATTAATCAAGCCCTTTTCCAGAGAACAAACAGAAGTAAAATATTGAGTTTCTGCCATGAATTGAGATTGACTGCCAGCATGAACTAGCGCCCTCCTCCTGGTTGCTGTCTGGGGCCGGTTCACCCTCACTCAACCCAGGAACCCGGCATCTCACCTTATACACGTCATAAGTTTCAATGATGTGATCGAATAAACTGTAGAGGTCATTGAGGAGCTTCACAACTTGCAAGGGAGAGCTGAGAGAACAGAGTTTTGTGAATCCAACGATGTCAGAGAAAAAGATGGTCACGGACTCAAAATGTTCTGGTTCCACGGACCTTCCAGCTATAAGCTGTTCTCCAATGAAGCTGAAACCAGAGAAAAGAATGGTTACTTAACAGTGTCATATTCATCTTGTCTCCTACAGACCCCTCCCTACAAAGTCACCCTGGTAGATCCTTTGGCTTCATTGGATTAGGTTTTTGTTTTGTTTTGTTTTATTATTTTTTTAATTAACAAAACCCATCATCTAGAGGGGATTCTCCTAATATCTGCTTCTCCACCTGCATTTTGTCTAAATAAGTATTTTCATTAGGGTCGGGGAGGAACCGGGCACATAAATGCCGGTCACAAAAAAAAAAAAAAAGATTTTCTCCTTCAGGGCACTTTATTTCCCCCTATGTTTATAGAGTTTGATTATAAAGACTTGGTCTGCAGAGGTGGAAGCAAATGTAAGCATTCACTGATCTATAAATCAATATTTTTACTTCAACCTACCAATTTCACATTAACACATTCAAAGCCTCAACCCCATTGCTTTGCTCAAGACATATAGGAAGGGTACAGGAATTTTAACAGAAGAGGCTTCTGCCAAGGGTTTAGAAAGTCCATAGGTGAAAATAGAGACAAAAAAGAAAGCAAGTTTTGAATCTAAAGTAATGGGTATATAGTATATACTGTATACTGTATTGTATTGTGCAAGGTTTTGGATGTACAATCTGAAAGTTAGCAATCGACTAGACTCGTGGACCTGGAGCGCCATCTAGTGGTCATTCTCTTGTTGGTGCATACACCATCTTCCATGTAAAAGACCTATGGTCTCATCACCCCAAGTCAAGTCTCCTTCCATCACCATTTATCCCTCCTCTACCGTCTTCCTTTGAGTGCTGAGCACACAATACAATATACAGATGACTGTTAAAAAAGAAATCTTCAAAAAAAACTCCTTCCTAACTGAGACACCAAGTGCATGGATTTTGTAGTCATTTGACATAGATGAATAAATGATCCGAGAATAAACTATTTCATTTTGGGAATTTTTATGTATCATGTATTTCAAAGATTGAGAGAAAAATGACTGAGCAAAGCAGGTCAAGTACATACATAAACACCTAAATTCAAAAATAAATAAATAAATAAAATAAGTTATAGGAAAAAAAAATTAATAAAAAAATAAAAGACCTACACTCTCTATTCCTATGGATTCTATCTCCATAGGATCTTTGTAGGGTGTACCAATTTACATGCAAAATACTTGATCCTTTGCCTCCATCTCTCTTTGTAGGGTGTACCAATTTACATGCAAAATACTTGATCCGGGTTTTAGAAGAACCCGGTGTCCTTTTAGAAAAAGGACAAAGAAAATATTCTCTTCATGTGAGGCCAATTAGGTGGCGATGCTGTTGCTTCCTGGGTCCCTTTGTGAAGGCTCCCAACTCTCTGGAATACCTGGGCAGTATTGTGGACAGGAGCTTATCCACCTTCCTCTTCTCTGCCATCATCTGGTTGGTCCTCTCTTCCACCACCTCCTCCAGGTGATTGGCATACACTTCCAGCTTGCTCACCATACTGTCTAGTATGCTCACGTGGCTTTAAAAGAACCCAGACATTAGTGTCTTTTTCCAAGAACTTTAGGATCATAATTGAGCACAACCTCCAACTATACATTCCAAACATGTCTTGTCCCTAAGGTTTCTGACTTCAAGGTTGCCAGTGGGCAGCAGTGAAATGACAATGGCAAAGAGGCCATTTGACAGGACAGAGCCTGCCTTTTATTGGCTCTGAGGTCTCAATCTGTATCCTTTATTCCTCTGAACCTCAGTTTCTGCCTCTGGAAATATATTTATATGTAAAACCCTAATATGCAAATAGACCAAACAGCAGAACAACCATACAACCAGTCGCTGTGACATGTGCTGACCACCAGGGGGCGTGGACATGGTGGTCATCGGCCATGGTGGGATGGTAGAATAGGTGAGTGGGGGTGCCAGACCAAGGTAGGGCGCTGGTCACTGTCATCGGGGTGAGCCTCTGATGGTTACTGAAAATTCTTTGCTCCCACACACTGTGGTCCTGCCCGGCGATCACACTGCTGCCAGCACCAGCCCTGCTTGCACACGCAGCTGGTGCTGGAGCCACCACTCGCACCCACTACTGGCACCCGGCACCAGTCCCAATTCATCGGTGCCATCAGCAGGTGCGAGCAGTGACTGCCGTCCCTGATCACCCCTGAGGGCTTCTCCACTTCCCCTGCTCCTGAGAGTTTATTGGGGCAGCAGCCACCACTTGCACCTGCTGCTGGCACCAGACCCAATCGCTCTGCACCATCAGCGGGGCCAGTGCTGTCAGCACGTGGGAGCAGCGGTGGCGGGAGTGGGGCTGCTGGTAGGCAGGGAACCAGGGGCCAAGGTGAGAGGGGCCAGGCGGGGGCATGGAGGATGGGCCGAGACCCGCCCCTGTGCCGACTGCAGCCTCACAGCCCACAGTTCCTTTCAAGGTGCACAAATTTGTGCACTAGGCCCCTAGTTTTAGAATAATAATACATACATACTTTGCAGGGTTGTTCTAAGGATTCAGGGAGATAATGTTGAGAGTCTGGAACCCAGTGAACACTCAACAAGTGGTGGCATTCACTGGCCCAGCATGCTTCATACCATTGTTACAGCCAATCAAAAATGTAGATTTTTAGGACAGGTCATTCTTTGTTGCTTTTTCAGATGACAGGTATAAGGGGCACTTCTAGATCCTATAGACTTGTTTTAGAAGGCTCTTCAGAGAAATTTAAATTCCTCATCTTTCAGATGAGGACCCTGCGGCTCAGCTCACATGGGAAATGTACATGCTTTAACATTGGGGACCATATTTTCTGGGTAAAATGTCAGGACATACCAACTGACCTGACACATACCATTTAAAACTATTTTGATGTGGAAAATGCAGAATACAGGGCTGTTCGTGTTAAAGCTGCATAGTGAAATGGCAACATCTGGAGTAGATTCCTAACTCCTAGCACAGGACTTCCCCTACTAACCCCAGCTACTTGTAACATGGCTGTACCTTCATATGTTCAATGTGGTAGATGATGTAATTATCCTGGTTTGAAGCCAGTTACTATCGAGAGCATTCTTTGAGAGGAATGAATAATTTAACTCAATAACCTACTTTAAGGTTGGTGCATATTTCTTTATTGCATAAGCACAATCCCAGTTGAGTAGTCATGACCTTGGAATGCTGGTTTGAATAGAGTCAGAGGCCCTGTCACTGATCCCCCTGGGACCTTGACAGATTAGATGGATTAGTGATGCCTGGAATGGACCAAGGAGGGCAATGGAAGTATGACCCATTTTTGGAACATTTGTGAAATAGAGGGAGAATTTCTCAGTCCACCTTCACCAGCATGTAGCTCAGTGCTTTGCATGTAGTAGGCATTGAGTATATGAGGAAGGAAGGAGGGAAGGAAGGAAGGAAGGAAGGAAGGAAGGAAGGAAGGAAGGAAGGAAAGAAGGAAGGGAGGGAGGGAGGAAGGAAGGAAGGAGCAATTACAGCCACATGATTTCAAAATTCTAATGGCTCAGTGAGAAGAAAATGTCTGTTGCACACCAAACTCACCCTTTGGGGCTGGCATCTCGTAGAATTTTCTTGATGGAAAGGAATGTGGGTCTTTTCTCAGGCGACTCATCCCAACACGCTCTCACTAGGACCACAATCTTCTCATTGACCTTGTCCTCTTGCAGGGAAGGTCGCAGTGGAACTGATGCCCTGGGGTCTCGGATTCGGCTGAGGATTTCTGAAATCCATTTTGGGTTTAGATATCCAGATGTCGGAACTTTGTGCCATTTAGTATGCTTCACTTTAAACAGATGTGCTCTTAAATTTGCATATTGAGTTTCCAAGTACACGGAACAGATTAGAATTTCAGATAAATCTGAATATAAGAAATATTCTGAATCCTCCTGGAAAATGAGGAATCTAAATATAAATCCTATAAGTACCCCCTGATTTATCATTTCTTAGATTAATTTTTTCTAATAGAACTTTTCTTAAAGTAAAACATATCTCTATATGATTTCAGAAGTATATATGCATTTTGTAGTAGAGATCTCCAAAGTGTGCTTTATACAATTTTGCGTTCCATATATGTTACATAAAAGATCTTTTAACAAATAATAAATATTACAGATCAGAGTCTGCCAAGAGTTTGGGGAGGAGAGAAGGTTGAATAGGCAAAGGGCCTGAATTTTTTTTAGGGTGATGAAACTATTTGGTATGACACTGTAACAGTGGATACATGACACTACCTATTTGCCAAAACCCATAGAATCTTACAGCCCAAGGAATGAACCTTGAAGAATGCTAATTTTAAAAAATATCAGTTGAGGGATTGGAAGACCCCAAGACAGAATGCAGATTTGTGGCAAAACAATCTAACTGCGTGACAAATGTATGATGGACCTCACTGAAGGGGGTGGAGGTGGTGGCGAGTGGCCTATGTGACTGAAAGAAAAAAGCCAGGAGAGATGGAACCAGGAAGGTGTAGTGGATTGACTGGTGATCCCCAAAGATATATGTCCATGTCCTTATCCCCAGAACCCATGACTGTGACTTCATCTGAAAAAAAAGTCTTGCAAATATAATTAAGTGTCTTGGGTTGAGGAGATCATCTTGGATTATCCAGGTGGGCCCTCATCCAATGACAAGTGTCCTTACGGACAGAAGGGATTTCCGGGAGGAGTTAATGTGGGGATGGAAGCAGAGACTGGAGCCCTGTGGCCACAAGCCCAGGAAGACTGGGCCACCACCAAAAGCTGGAATGGATCTACCCTTGAGCCTCCAGAGGAAGTGCAGCTTTGTTGAACCTTGATTTTGGACTTTTAGCCTCTGGAACTATGAGAGAGTAAATTTCTGTTGTTTCAAGCCAGCAGGTAGGTTTGTGGCAACTTACTATGGCGGCCCTAGGACACTAACATACAAGACCACTGAGGCCGGTTTAGAGGCCTTTGATGGTCTTGCAGGCCATTGTAAGGACTTAGTCTTCACTCCCAAAATGGGAAACCAGGGGAGGCTATTGTGCAGTGAAGCAACACGATCTTACTCATTGGATCTGGCTGCTGTTATAGAATAAACTGTCATTCTGAGTTCCTTGGTTTTTTTAAATCAAACTGTAATAGTTTTCTAATTCTTTAAAAAAATATATGAATTTTTAAGAGAAAAAATAAGAATGAAATAAATTGTAAATTAAGAAACATTTAGCAAAAACAAGCATTTGTGAGCCAACCCAGATCACCACAGCCTGCCAAGGAGCCGCTCCCAGCGTTACCGTCTGGTGTCTCGTCAAGGTCCTCAAAAGGCCCGAGCGCATGCTGGTGGATCAGCTCCCTCATCACAATGGCGAAGCTGTAAGCGTCTCCCTTTGGGGTGCCTGACCGGGGCGCTTCTGGGAGCCGCAACAGCTCTGGGGCGGTCCAGTAGAGCTCTGTGAAGCAAGGAGACATAGGCCCAGAATGAGAGTTTCCAGGTAGAACCGGAAAGCCGCCCTTTCTAGCTTAGGAAGCTCAGGAGAACTGAGAGCATCCAGCCCCCGAGAAGTCAGCCCCCACGGTGCCCGACTCACAGAGCAACCAGGGTCCCTGTATGTGAATGCAGAGAAAATAACCAGGAAGAAAGGGCACTAACATGTTAACAGTGGCTAACTTGTGGCTGTGCAGTGACAGGTGGTGTTCCTTTTCCCTTTCTGAATTGCCTACATAACATAAAATTAATCATTTTAAAGTGAGAATTCAGTGGCATTTAGTACACTCACAATGTTGTGCAACCACCACCTCTATCCATCTATCCAGTTCCCAACCATTTCCAACACCCCCAAATAAAACCCCAGACCCCTTAAGCAGTTTCTCCCTGTTCCCCTCTATCCCCAGAAAACCACCAGCCTGCATTTTCTCTCTAGAGTTATCTATTCTGGATATTTTATACACTTACATTTTTTTTCTAGTGAGGTGCATAGGCTTGTGTTATTATAGGTATGATCATTAAAAGAAAATATATTGGAGGATGGAGAAATAGGAATGACTACGAAAAGCTTTCTAAGTTGCCCCCTTTGTCTTTCTCTGAACACACATGCTACCTCATGTTACAGGACCTCCCCACATGCACTCAGCAAAGCTGCTCCAGAGAGAAGTAGTCAGGGCTGAGGGCACTGGGCTCAACAGGACCCAGAGACGTAAGAGGTGAGACGCAGGAGCACTCAGCTGCCTCCACTGCTCGCATGAGAAGGAGGTTGACTCCCAATGGTAGGTCTTGTCTTTAGACGCCCACCAGAATCACTTGGGAGCTTTAAAAACAATGTGATGCCCAGACCCCATCTTTAGATATTGATTCAGCGGCTGCAGCATGGAACCCAGCTACCTATAAAATGTTATGATTTTCTCAAGTGATACTGAAACCCAGAGAGAACAGAAAAGTCAAACCCTTCATCCTTAAAGCACCTGGCAGGTTGTCATTCTACACTGAGAAGGTAGTAAAATGTGATGGGACACAGAGGACTACAGAGAAGGGCAGTGACTTGTTTCAGGTCGCCCAGCTAAGCTGGGATGAGGACCAGTTCCTCTCACTCAGACATCACACCATGGAGTCGTGCCACCTGTTCCCATCTCCTTGGGTGAACAGAGCAGCCACACACCACTGGCTCCAGAGAAAGGCCCACCCACAGGTACTGTGCACATGAGCATCAGGAAGCAGAAATGGGGTAAGGAACGAACCCCTTTACCACTCAACCGAAAGCTAGTGGGTCCAAGACCTGCCAGTGGTTACCTGAGTGGTCTTTTGTTTTCTCATTATATGTTCTGTATGTCTGGCTGTACTTGAGTTCCCACAGCCCAAATCCCGACAGCTTCACCTGCATCCGACCATCCACCAGGCAGTTGGAAGGCTTCAGGTTTCCATGGGACCTCAGTGGGCTCCTATGAAGGAACAGCATGCCCTGGGAGAGTGAAAATGAGCAACTGAATTAGAGCAGGTGCCAAGGGACACCAGGGAAGGAGAGACAGATGGACAGGAACAGAGATGTGCAGCCCCAGGGCAGGGGACGTAGCTATCTTTGTTCATTTGTTCAAGAGCCACTGACATGGCCCTCCACATAAGGAGTCAAGATGGGCACAGACACCCAAAAAGAAGAAAACTATTTCTGGTCCCTGAAGGCAAGGCCAGCTTAGTGAGCATAGTTCTAAGTTCAAATCCCAGCTCTACCACTTAGTAGAGGGCAAGCTACCTTACCCCTACCAGCCTCCTTCTTCTCATCAAAATGGAGATGACAATGAACCCTACCTCATAGGGTTGTCCATGGAAATTAAATGCAGTCATACACATGCGACATCAGACATGATGCATGACACAAAGTAAATATCTACTTAAATTTAATGAAAAATGTGATAAAGATTATTTACTGAATAAAAAAAAACTTGCTAAGGGAAGTGAGTCAGAAAGGCAGGGATATAATAGGCAAGATCTGGAAACAACCTAAGTATCTCTTGATACATGATTGGATAAAGAAGATGTGGTACATATATAAAAGGAATAATACTCAGCAGTGAAAAATGAAATATTGCCATTTGGAAGAACATGGATGGTTCTTGAGAGTGTCATTTTAAGTGAAATAGTCCAGAAAAGGACAAGAACTACATGATTGCACTCATATGTGGGATATAAAATAGAAACCAACAAATGAACAAATAAGACAAGCAAACTCATAGGCATAGATAACAGCATGGTTACCAGAGGGGAAGCCAGTAGGGGGAAGAACAAACTCATAGGCATAGATAACAGCATGATGGTTACCAGAGGGGAAGCCAGTAGGGGGAAGACAAAGAGGGCAAAGGGGGTCAAATATATGGTAAAGGAAGAAGACTAATTTAAAAAATTTTTAAAGAAAGGCAGTGATTGTTCTCATCCAGCAAGGATTAGAACACACTTATACAAGAACAGCCAGGTTCAAATGAATCTTAAACCCAGCTGAGAAGGAGGTGAAGTCACCCGTGGGTGTGGCCACAAGGAGGCACTGGCCATCAAGGTTCCAAGAAGGGCTCCTGAATGGACTACTGCACCCAGAGACAGGGTCCTTGGACCTTTTGGGCACCAGCTCAGGGACTCACCTCTGCCTCCAGCAGTGATGTCAGGCTGAGTCACTGTCTCACCTTAGCAAGAGCCCTAAGCCAATGCTACATTAGCAATACAGGCTAATACAGAAAGCAATAAGGAAACCTGAGGGACAGTGAGTATCCCACCCTTGTCCCCTGACCCCTGAAAGACAGGAGGGCATATTCCTTTATCATTGTGGCTTGTTTGTGTTCTGAGATAATAGAGTTGAATCACATGTTGGAAGTACAACTCGCTCAACTAGACCTGGAAGGGCCTGGCTGGAGCTGCCTCTGGACTTTCTCCAGGAAAGGCTCCAACTTGGACAGGTCTGGGCTTGAAATCTGGGGAGACCTATGTCCAACCCAGAGTTCTCTCTGACCTCACAGAGACCTCTCCATGCAGCAGGACTGCCCCTGACACACATGATCATCCCTTGCCTTGGCCCACCCCAGGCATGAGATAGCTTACATTCTGGTCACCACCAATCTCCCCGGACATCCAGGGACAATAGAGCTCATGCTATTAGGGCATAGGCAACCTGTTTGGATGCTCGGAATCCTATGTTGCAGTCCTCTCCAGGAGACAGACGTACCTCTCTGTGGTGGTGTTTTTCTCTCTTGATGGAAATGCATGGGCATACGTACATTGTCAGAGAACAAATAGAACCACGAGAGGTGCGTGATTTATGCACCAGATTTTATGCGTTTTGGCAATTCTATCGCCTACCTGACTGCTAGTTACATTTATTTCCCTGTTAGAAAGTTGGGGGTGGTCCTGGGGGCTCTATCTCTGGATCCCACATCTGTGCTCTCTGGAACTTGGTGGGGAGGAAACGTAGCATGACTCAACCTCGGAGACAGACTAGCAGCAAGCCCCAATCTACCTCTTACCAGTTGGGCAGGTTACTTCACCCGAGTAAGCCTCATTTTCCCCTTCGCGAAATGGAGTAAATATTAATATTAACATTAATATTGGAGCTGGTAAATTAATAATAAAGTTCATTGTGATGACTTAGAGCACCATCCACTTGAAATATAATGCAAGCCACAGGTATAATTTTTAATGTTTTCATTAAACAAGTGAAATTAAGTTTAATAATATAGTTTATCTAACCCAATGTATTAAGAGATCTTATCATTTGAACATATACTCAACATAATAATATCAAGTATTTTATATTTTTTTTTTGTTTTTTTACTTAGTCTTCGAAATCTGGCAGACATTTTACACTTTTATAGCACATCTTAATTTGGACTAGTCCTGTGGCCAGAGTTTAATAGTCACATGAGGCTGGTGGCTACTATACTTGGACAGTGCAGACTTAGCCCATAGGGTTGTTGAAGGAATGAAATAAGAAAGTGCATGTTTTTTAGTAATGGAGTTATCTCTGATAGTAATGATACTACTGTTCCTACTGATACTGACAATTAATATTTATTGGATACTTTTAATGGGGTAGGCATGGTTCTGGCCATTTTACATACCTTAGTCCTTATTGTAACCCTATGAGGTAGGTACTCCTGCTATCTTTATTTTATTCACAGGGAAGCTGAAGTTCAGGGTAGTTAAGGTCACCTGGTCAATAAGTAGCAGAGCCAAGGTTCAAACACCCAAGACAACTTCTTTGCCAACTGCCCTTGACCCCCTTAATCCATCAAGACTTCTCTTTCTCAGAAATCACAAAGTCAAGAAGAGTGCTATTCTCCCCAAAGCCTCTTCCCAGGCTGGTCCCACTGGTTGAGCTCCTTGGGGACAGGACAATGAGCCTTACTTCTCTGCAACCTCCATTCCCAGAATCAGGTTTGACCAAAATTGGGTGCTTAATCAATATCCTCTTGTTATTTTGAAAAGTCTGTGACATCTCAGAATCTCTATGATACCTGGCATACAGGAGTTCCTTGTCAAATAGACATCAGGGGAGGAATTGTTTTTATGATTGGTTTGTGGTGGCCAGAAGCATAATCTGACCCACAGAGGTTGGCCCCATGCCTGGGTTGATATCAGGTCACCCATGGCAAGCTTTAAGAGGCTGCAGTGAATTGTGTTACTTTCAGTCCCCTTTCAAGGAATGCTGGCAGAGTAACTGGCCTCAAAGTGCCTTGATCTAGGTCGCTGTGACCTCCTTAACCAGTCCCATCCTGTGCACACTCCATTTTTAGGGAAAGCAATCCTTCCAAAACAAGGTGCCAAGATGTCCTTCTGGCATAGAGTAGGGGATAGACTCAGTGACCTAAGGTAGCTGATTATTCAATTACTAGAGACCTATTGCACAAATTCGTGCACTGGTGGGATCCCTCAGGCTGTCCTTCTGGCATAGAGTAGGGGAAAGATTCAGTAACCTAAGATAGCTTGATTATTCAATTACTAGAGACCCATTGCACGAATTTATGCAGTGGTGGGATCCCTCAGCCTGACCTGTACTCTCACACAATTTGGGACCCCTCGAGGCATATCGGACTGCCGGTTTCACCTGATTTCTGAAGGCCAGGCCGAGGGACCCCACTGGTACACAAATCCATGCACTGGGCCTCTAATATGTATATAAAATCTTTGGTTAATCTCTTTCCGCCCACCCCTCTTCCCCCCTTCCCTCTGAGATTCATCAATCTGTTTGATGTTTCCATGCCTGTGTGTTGAGCATCTGCCCCCTGGTGGTCAGTGCACAGCATAACTAATGGTCGAACGGTCGCTTAGGCATAGATAGATATAGATATAGAGATATAGATGTAGATATAGATAGGTGTAGATAGATATAGATTCATTTGCGCCTGATCCTGAATTTAGTACTCCTCAATATACACAGGTGAACAACATACTTCCCTGGGTTTGCTGCAGGAAGAGAAATGTGGGTGAAGGGAAGGAGAGAGGAGCCAGAGTAGGAAAGGATGCCATGTCACATTCTTCTACTTTATAACTACCACCACCACTTCAATAATTGTATATGTGCATGTCCTGTGTTTTTTTTCCTCTAGCTAGATTTTACACCATTTAAAATTAGAAACAAGTCGTTATTTTCTTACAAAAGTTCCCAGAGGGAGATAAATCATTAACAGATGCTCAATAAAGTTTACTGAAATAACAGTGTTGGCCCAGTGTTGTCCATAGAGATCTAATCACAAGGAAACCAACAAGGTTTCTGTTTGTCTAACTTGCTTCCCATTAAGGCCCAGGAAATCAAAATCTCACAGACCATTAAGACTCAGCTCCTTAAACAAAGAGCAATTAAATCTCTGAGAAATAAAAGACTTTGGATGTCAACATACCAATCTCATCTATGAACCCACATGGAGGCTGAGGTCCAGAGAGGGACCAAAAGTCAAAGTCACTCAAGGAGTCACAGACTTATGCTCCAGAAGGACAGAGTTTTTGTTTCACCTTTGTATCCCTCCCAACACCAGGCTGGGTCTTGCCCACAGGAATCTATTGGTTGATGGATGGACTGTTGATTGAGAGATGAATGGACTGTTGATTGAGAGATGATGACCAGCCATCCCTGCTGGTTGTCAGACTGAGGGGCTTCCTCACCAGAACCCAACCCCACGTCATTGACTTGGTCCTCTCTTATGATAAAACAGATGCAGCGAGTTTACAAAGAACAGCTGTATTTTACCAGGTTGAGAACGTCAGCCTCAGGTACATAATGACATGGCCCATCTGACTTATCTCCCATCTATGAAATGGGGCTAATAATAGATCTACCTTATTTTTTGTTGTGAAACTTAAGTAAATTAATATATACAGAATGCTAGAAAGTATTGGGGCCAAAGAAAGCACTAAATATATTTTAGCCATTATTATTATTATTATCATCATGACCCTTTTTACAGCCACCTCAGCCCCCTTTGCCCAAAGTAAAAATTCTGCCTGTGTATATATAAATTCACAGATTTGCACCCCCTGTATAACAGCTTTGTGGTTATGATGGCACTGATCCCCATTTTCTGGGGAAAGGAACCAGGGACTAGGAAAAAGGAAGTATTATTAAGAATTGGGGACTAGGAAAAAGGAAGTAGTATTAGGAATCCTTCAGCTTGCTTTATGATCTAGTAATTAGATTTTCTTTGGGCAAAAAGTTCTGTCCTAAAATGTAAGTACCCTTCTCTTTTCTGGTTGGGTAAATGTAGCATCCCTTCTGACTTTAGTATAAAATATTTTTTACTCTCTTGATATTTACTTGGGGTCAGGGAGAGAGAAAAGAATGGGAAATCTAATTGAAGTGGTAGATTTTAGATGTGGGATCGCTTTGTTTGAAGAGGAGATCTGAGAGGGACCTGAATTTTTGGAAAAGATTACAGTTTGATTTAATCCAAGACACAGAATAATTCAAAAACACCATGGTATTTGTTCTTTACACAAACTGATGTTATACTCACATTGACTATGTCATATGCAAATGAGAGCTTGAATATCCAATCCATTTCATTATTTGAATTTCTCAAAACATCCTGAAAAACAGTTATTTAAAATAGCACCAGGGATTCAACCTGGAGCACAGTGAGCTTCATATGTTAAATGGGTTTGGTTCTATTACATTGGATGGTTTTTGTTGTTGTTGTTACTCCTCAACCAATGATATTTTCCTGTTGATTTTTAGGGAGAGCGGGAAAGACAGAGAAACATCGATGTGAGAGAAACACATCAATTGGTCGCCTCCTGCATGAGCCCCCACCAGGCCTGAGGAGCCTACAACAAAGGTATGTGCTCTTGGACCAGAATTGAACCTGAAACCCTTTGGTCCACATGCTGACGCTCTATCCACTAAGACAAACCAGCTAGGTCTACATTGGATGGTTTTGACCAGAACTCACAACCTGAGACAGAGCCAAAAAATTTCCCAGGACGGTCTACCTTGGATGGTTTTGACCAGAAATCCTACAACCTGAGACAGAGCCAAAAAATTTCCCAGGAAATATCATCACCTGACTCAATAGTGAGAAAGTTACGCAGTCTTGAGTTTTATAAACACTTCCTTGTTCTTGACATAAAGGGGACGGTCACATACCATAGGTAGTATGGGCCCAGGAATGCAATTTAGGAGTAGCTGTGACAGCTAAGGAGACAAAACCAAGCCCAGCCACTTTCCGTCCAGAACAAAGGAAACCAGATACTTGGCAACTCTGCTGCTAAGCCGATCCCCTGCAGGCAGCCCAACAGGATAATTCAGGTCTTGCAATTAGACTAGAGAGGAACTGTTCTTGGATGAAGGGGCAAAAGCACTGAAAGTTCTTCAATGTCTGCTGCTAATTAAACCTAAGGTAAGATTTCCTATTGTACTTACCTTCAGACTCCCTTTTTTGCAATACTGAGTGATAATGCAGATGTTGGGAGGTTCTGTGCAGACACCAAAGAAGGGAACAATGTTTTCGTGCCTTAATTCATACACCTGAAAATAATAATGGTAATACTAGCTTATGATTATAGTATGCCCTCTGTGTTAGGGACTATGCTACGTGCTTTACATACTTTGAGTTAATTCTCAAAGACCCTGTGAGGTGAGAACTATATACCTGCTCCCATTTTACAGATGAGGAAACTAATGCTCAAAAGGGTAAGTAACATGTTGAAGATCATACCACTTGCTAGTGGCAGAGTTGGGAAGCAAATCCAGGCAGTCTGCCTCCAGCATATAAACAAGAGGAATGATCAAAGTTGAACTTAGCCCGGGCATTAAATGAAATCACGTCACAGTAAATAGACCGAGCCCTGCTTCCTGGCGTTGATAGCTGTCGATGCCAGTGTGGGCCACAGTGGGTCACAGATCTGGAGTACGAAGTCAGACCCCATGAACTTGACTTCCTCCAAAGACCAGGTTCAAGGGAGGTGAGCAGCCATCACAGGTACAAAGAATGAAGATGCAGAATTAAGGCCCGGGAGAATTAAGGGAAATGAGCAAGGCTAGGAAGGATCCCAGGCGGGGGGTGCCTGAGTCAGGGCAAAAAGTCTTAGGTCCAAAGTCTGGGCTGTCAGGGGTGAGGGGGGTGGGCCAAGTTAGGGGAAGCTGCTTTCCACCCATGCTCCTTTGGACTGGGGCCACGCCCACTCCAGGTGGGAACAGGAAGCTGGCAAGGAGGGTCTGAGAACAGCGCCGCTTTGTCTCCTCCCAGGGCGGGGGGCCTCACCAGCCGGATTTCCTGCAGCACAGATGGCTTCCTGGTCCTGGCTTCTGCTTGGTCACCAACATAGCAGATGGCCACATGGTTTCCCTGGAACCAGAGACAAAGCGGAATGTTCTCACTCAAGATGATCCAGAAAAAGCTCTACTCAGAAAGAACTGGGGGTGG